CCTGCAGGGGCCCCCAAGAGCCCTGCGGAGGGAGCAGTGCCCCCAAAAGTGTTTCTGAGAGTTGGAACCTGCCGCCGGCCGGCTGCTCGCCACTGGCAAGTCCTCTCCCGCCGACCCTGACGGCAGATGGCGGTACCCACGGGCGCGCGGATTAAACGAGACACTACAGGAGGCCTGCGTAGCTGGCGCCTGGCTGCGGTGCGTGAGACGAGGGGCTGTGACAATGGCTGCAGATCGCCTGCCCCCCACCACTCCCCAAGGAGTTCTCGGGACTTCCTGACCCTCCTCCAGGTGGTCTGAGCCTCTGGGGCCTGAGCTGACCTCTCCCAGCCTCTCCGGAGGTGACAGCTGCAGGCTGCCGGGGAGGGAGGCCGGACCCCACGGTCAGCCTGGGGGGAAGGGGACTCTGCCACTGCCCAGGGAACAAGGTGAAGTCTCACTCTCGCCTGGCATTCACCCAGGGGTCAAGGGGACCTTTCCAAAGCAGCGCTAACCAAGGAGCTCACAGGAGGGAGACACCATGACACCATGGGGGGCGGAGGCCCCAGCGACAGCAGACGGGGGTGCGGGGGTGAGAGGTGAAGATGCACATGGGCGCAGCCGGAGAGGGGGCGCGGGGACAGGAAGGCCCCGTCTTTCCTCTCCTGCTCTTTTCAGGACATGCAAAGAGGCTCGTGCACTGGGGGCCCCAGTCACCGTCCCCAGGGTGGGGCCCCAGGCGTGTACTTACTGCCAACAGCGGAGCCTGCGGCGGCACCTGTGGGGAGAGAAGGGTCACAGAGAGGTGGCCGGAGGAGCGGGGACCCCAGGCACCTCCTCTCTGCAGAGGAGGGGGCGGGCGGGTGACTGAGCCATCACTGTGCGGGGATTGGGGCACGTGGCACCACTGCCCTGAGACGAGCAGCTGTTGTTAGCCCATTTCGCAGATGGAGAAACCAAGTCTCAGAGCCACGACCCACCCTATCAGGGGGCCTGCTGGTAAGGGGGGCTTCACGCGCGCCCCTCTTGTTAGATTTTAGACTCTCAGGCCCTCCGGTGAAGGACAGGGAGCCGGGAGGCTATTCTGGGGGGCGGGGGTGATGGGGTGTCAGAGAACATGAAAGCCACAGCCCAGGCGGGCTGGGTTACTGGAGGCCCTGCTGGAAGTCGCCACCAGAGAGAAGCCCCGGTGTGTGCTCCCAGCTGGGGACACGGGGGCGGACGGCTGAGAAATGAGCATGGGGGCCGCCCCGTGCTGAGTGCGTTCCACGAGCCAGGCCCTGGCCATACATGAGCCATCCAGCCCCCGCAACGACCTCCAGGATTCGGCTTGGTCCTAATTCTACAGGTGGGGAACCTGTGACAGGAGACAGGAACGGAGGGTTGAGAGGTGAAGATGCACATGCCCAGGGCCCCACAGCTGTGAGCGGCAGAGTCTAAGTGGCCTCGCCGTCTGTGTGTGTTCGTGCTGGGGACGAGGGAGGCCTAAGGCCATGGTGTGACCCGGGCTCTCACGGCACCAGGGAAGGATCGGCTCAGGCCCAGAAGGACGAAGCCCGTGCCACAGCATCTCCTCCAGGTGTCCTGAGAAAGGGTGGGAGCAAAGATGCCCTTAATGCCCAGGAGGCCCTCGGGGACACTGTGATGTGGGCAGGGGGACGTGAGGTGCATGGACGTCCCCTGGGTGACCGCCAGGCGCCAGGGAGGCCTGGGAAGATGAGCCCACCAGACACCCTCTCCTGCCCTCAGGGAAGGCATCGGTTAGACCTGAGGTCACGAGGGAGGCCCGGCTCGGAACGGACATGCTAAGGGAGGGGCCGGCAAGGACGTGACGGTTACCGAGTAAGGGGGGGCAGGATGCTGGGGGCAGGCACGGGGGGGCAGGTGACCTCTAAGCTGGGCCTTGAGGGTGACGGCACAGTCCAGGAGAGGGTCGCAGGTGCAAGGGGAGAATCCAGGCTGCGGGGACATGAAGGTCCAGGGACAGAGCTGCTTTGGCGGGCGAGGGGGGATTCGGGACGGTGGGCCTGGAGGGCGTGTGGACTCAGAGGTGGGCATGGGCAGCGGTGGGAGGTGTGTGGGGGTGCCTGAGACCTTGGGGGACCCTTCTGGGAGGAGAGAGGGACACAGAGAGGAGGAGAGGAGGTGGGGAAGAGGGACGGATGGCAGGGAGGCCGGCAGGACAGACGAGGGAAGCGGCTTTGCCAGTCGGGGAGGGAAGTGACAGGGACTCAAGAAAGGGTTCAAGAGACAGTTCAGGCAACAAAGAGATCTGGAGGCACCTGGGGCGGCGGGAGCGGGAGGGGCGGCTGTCAGTGCCCAGAGCGTTCTCTGTGCCTTTGAAGGCCAGAAGCTGTGAGCGCCTGGCAAGTCACCCCTTCAAAGCCTGTGGTGCCACCCGCCCAGCACACGCATGATGTGCCTGTCACGGCCTCGCTGTGAGGCTCTCGGCTTTGATCAGCCTAAAGTCACATCAATCTTTCACCGGCTGCGGAGGGGGGCGCTGATGGAGGCGCTCCCGCGAGTGTGCCCAGGCGGGCGGGGCGGGCCGTGTCCCCCCTCCCGGAGCAGGAGGCCGCTGCTCAGCCCTGGCTTTGGGTCAGGTCCAGTGACTGGCCCTGGGTCCCAGTGCTGGCACGTAACTCACAGTTAAACCTAGGTCATAATAACGCCACCCGTGGGGTCGCAGCAAAGGGAGGAGCTCTGCGTGCAGCGCCAGGCGAGGCCTGTCACGGAGCTCGACAGATGTCAGACATCAGTGAAATCCCTGGGGGCGGGTCTGGACGCGCTCACCCTAGGGCCAGGCCGGGCCCTTCTCCCTGCAGCTCAGGGAGACACCGTGGACTATCCCGGGGCCCCCGATGAGCGGGGGTGTCCACGATGCAGGCATGGGGGGCGCACCCCGGACATGGCTTCCCTGGCTGGGGCTGTGCAGAGAGCCAGCAGGGACCCGGCGGCAGTGGACTCGGGCGAGGGCCTTGGAGGACCCCTCCGTGAACGGGATAATAGGAAGCCTGCTTCCAGGGGCCGCTCTGAGGGTCGAGGGGGTGCTGACCACGCAGCACTTGGCACCATGCAGCAAGCTGTCAAAGTCCCCACCAGCCTCCTCCTGGACCCACTCTGGGGCCTCCTCTCCAGCCTTCAGGGTCAAGAAGGGGGAGGACAGCAGGGAGGAGGGTCCCGATGACAAGGCCTGGCCCCTGGGAGCCGCCTAACAAGGGGTGTGAGTGTGTGTGTGCACATTTGTGTGTGTGCACTTGGGATTGTGCATGTGTGCGTGCATGTTTGTTTGCGTGTGCATGCGTAAGTGCCCGCATGTTTGCATGGCCACACGTTTGTGCATGCATGTGCGTGCACACATGCACTTGTGTGTTTGTGTATGTTTCCTTGTACGTTTGCCCGGGCACACGGTGCGTGCGTGCATGCGTGCGTTTGTGCGTGACCCGCCGCCCCGGGGGTGAAGGGCGGGGCCGGGGCGGGGAGGCGGGGCCGGGCCAGG